CACAAACTGGATCCTTTCAGAGAGGGGTGACAAAAGGTACCTTCTCAATAAACAAATGATCACCTTTACATACTTGTTTTGCTTTGAGGGAGGCCATGAATCATCATCATAATGAACATGGCAATGACCTGTACTTGAGCGTATCAGTCTCTGGGACAAATATGAGCATGGTGGCATGTCAGCATTCCAGATGTTGATGAAAACAGAAACTGGAGTCTAAATTTAATCATGATTCCAATGCAAATTGACCTCATGGCTGTTCTATGATTTATTTCTGTTGTGAAAGCTTCCCCTACATTCCCAGACACTTGTCAGCTAACATTATCCAACTCCAACCACTCCTTAGTCCATTATATGCTGGTGTTCTGGGATCCTTTTTTATTGCTTCTTCAACATTGCTTAGATACATGAAGCATCCTGAGGCCAAGATAACAGGAAGTAGATAGGGATATTGTGACAGGCTCAAGGACATGTTATGTGGAAAGGTAGTCAAACTAACTGTTTTTAACACTGCTTGAGCTCATCAAATTAAATATTTTGCTGAATCCAGCCCTGTCATATTCATGTAGTTTCACACGTGTTAGAAGTTTCACTTACTTATTTCCAAATTCAACTTGTAAGCCAAACATAAAGCTCTACACTAAGTGACTCATCTAAGCAACCAAAGTAAACATTATACTGTCTACTAGAGATCTCCCATCAGATGCCTTGGCCAAGGTTTTGCTATAAATGTTCTTGACTTTTTAGAACCCTTTGTTCCACCCACAGCCACAACAGTACACAGGTTTCACTGTAAACCTCATTGCTGCCTCCCATTGAATCTGATGACTCTCTATGCCCTGTGCTTTGGCTTAAACTTTGTTAAAAAAACTTTATGGTTTAGATTTCTGAATTTTGTCCTCCATCTTAACTATCTTTCTAATAAAGTTTCTTCTCTTTAACCATTTTGCAACCATTTCTCAAGTTCACCATGAACAGTTCATATCGTTAAATTTGCTAGTTCTTCTAATGAGAATTTCTTTTTTAAAATGTTGTCATAGTTTTATCTTTTTTTATTGTTGTTATTGGCCTATATCAGGGAGCTGTTTTCTAATTACACTGAATTAAGCTGATTAATCCATATATTTTGGGCATTGTGTGTAAAAACTCAGCAATCTATTCAAATAAAAGGTTGTGAGAATTTCTCCATGGCAGTTTTGCTTTGTGATTTGGGGCATGCTTTTTATATATCTGGATCTTTCTCTGCAGAGACTACCTATGTATTTAATGTTGTTATCCTTTCTTACCAGAGAAAGATAAAGTAACACCATCTCAGAGACTACAGCTTGTGTCTTCATTATTGTGGTACCCCTCCTCAACTGAAACTTTTCAGTTTGTCCCTTTGACTGTCCTTTTAATGTTATTAGTGTTAAAATAATGGAAGACCTGTCTCATTTTAGGAATAGGAAGGCTCAGAGAGTACATTGTATTTTTGTTTCCTTCCAAGCCATCATACTGGAAACTAAAGGCAAGAAAATGACATAAAATATGTGGTTTTTGACCCATAGAAATTCACAGAGGTCAAATATTTTTTTTCAGTGTGTATGTTTAAATTCTTATCCTTCAAATTCTAGTAACAAATACAGATCTATGGTGTGATATGGCCAGCAGAACCTGTGCTGTTTAAGAATAAAACTAACCATGGAGACAAGAAAGAAGAAAATGCTTAGACTGTATCTACAATATTAGTTTCTTAAATCTTTTTAGTTACATAAAATGAGATTTCAGTTTATATTCAGTGACTTACTGGAGAAAGAAGAACCTTTCATAAGTAACTATATTAGGCTATACATTATCAGAGCTACACTAGCAGTTTGGGCCATACAAATCTGCCTTATGGGAAACAATACTCTGAGATGGAACCCAAAGGAATCATTTGGAAAGCTTGGTGGTACCTCCAAGAAGAAAGCCATTTCAACACCAAAAGTTGTCTGCTTATCAGATTCTAGACAGACTTATGTATGGTCTTAAATTCCAAACTCAACAATATACATCCAATGATCTTTAAAAAGGAAACTATTTACAAACACTATGTTTAAGAATGTTTGTGTATTCATAACGTGTTACATGATGAAAAGCCTATTTAAAATTTACATGTAAAATAGTTGTTATCATTTAAATAACTCAGACATATATTTGAGACCAATGTCTAACCAAAGATGAATTACTTAGAATAAGAAAAGAAATGAATGACAGTGTGTGGGAAACAGAGAATAAGATCACTATGTTGCTACTCACTGGAGCTAAAAAAATAAAAAATAAAAAAATAAAAAAAAATCTAAACACAGAACTATGGAGAAAGTTAAAAATAGCAGCTAGTGATTCAGCCTTTATAATCATCCAGTATTATGACCAAAAATTAGTATTCAGCTAATTACATCACTACTGAAATACACAGAGAACAATTTTAATATAAATTTTAACATAGCATCCCAATTAGTTCCAGTGATGTGAGACAGTGCTATATAAGATGGCAGTCTGACATTTCAGACAGAGAGCAGTAATGGTGAGCCAAATACAAACTAAAACAACATGCTGTCACT